TATCTATCTATCTATCTATCTATCTATCTATCTATCTATCTATCTATCTATCTACGTATATATCTATCTATCTATAAAAACATTTTTTAAAATTGACTGCATGTTTACAATTTTTGGACTTGTTAGAGGAAATGATCGTACCACCTCACAAAATGTGTCACAACTGATCCATAACTGTCCTGCAGCACACTGGCTGTACATCTGCAACCAGATGTTTACATACACAAAGTTTATCCTCTATGTCTGACATTAAATCAGACTAAATTTACTTTTTAGGACAGCTAGGATTGACAAAATTTTATGGAGAACTTTCTACGGTTTCCCTAAAATTACGAGTTTGCATACATGTTTTTAAATGTTTGGTAGCATTGCCTTTAAACTACATAAATTGGGTGAAACATTTTGGGCATCAAGTCACAGTGGTTTGCTGGCATTTTGTTCCATTCGTCTTAACAGAACCGGTGGAACTGAGTCAGAGATAACTGAGGATATTCTTGGGATCGGTTGGAGCCACTCCTCCAATTTGGGGCTCACAGCATTCAGTACTCCAATGACCAGTGAGATTACTGATGCTTTGACTCGCCACACTTCCAGTATTTCTTCTTTCAACCCTTGGTATTTCTCCAGCTTCTTGTCCCCTTCCTTTCTGATGTTAGTCACTGTACGTCTATCACCGCTGCCTTCGTCTCTTGCTTGTCGACCACCACAAAGCCCAGCGGCTGTGGTAGAGTGGTTAGGGGAGTCGTCCTGGAACTGGAAGGTCACCGGTTCAATCCCCGTCCAGTCGTCTCAGTCCTTGTGTCCTTGGGCAAGACACCTTACCCGCCTTGCCTACTGATGGTGGTCAGAGGGTCCGGTGGCACCTGTGCATGGCAGCCTCGCCTCTGTCAGTGTGCCCCAGGGCAGCTGTGGCTACAATTGTAGTTTGCCATCATCAGTGTGTGAATGTGTGTGTGCATGGGTGAATGTCTGCAGTGTAAAGCGCTTTGAGTGTCCCTGATGGATAGAAAGGTGCTATATAAGTACAGTCCATTTACCATAAGTACAGTCCCAGTCAATTAGCCGTTATATGGGGGTTTCAGCCATTTTGGATTTTGACATGGCAACTCAGTATTTGATAGTAACCTTTCTTCTACCTAAACACTAGAGGTGCAACGATGCAGAAAATGCATGATTCGGTTCGGTTCGATATTTTAGTCTCACGGTTCGATATTTTTTCGATACAAAAAAGAGAAATTTCCATGCCCCTTTTTATCTTGTATGAACATTTATTTAACCTCAAAAGTACAGTTTTTTAATTAAATGTTGCTGAAACAGCAAGTTTCTCAGTGGATCTGTGCTCAAAAATGCAGCCTAGGTGGAGTAGTCGAACACAGATCCACTGATCCTTCAACACAGAGCATCTTCAGAGACATGTTGATAAAGTAAATTTTTTAAAAATCTGTATTGTTCGATACACGTGTGTATTGAACCTAAAGCATTGTGCGATACGGGTACATGTATTGTTGCACCCCTACTAAACACAGTTTCCCACGGAAGGGTTACTGTACTGGTTTCTACTTGAAGAGAGCCTGAAATACTGAACAGAGACCACAAGTCTGAAGATTGATGCACACACATCAATAACAGAAAAGATGGAATAAAAAGTGCATACAAATAAACATAAGGGTTTGTAATTTATCCTTCTAAACAACCAAGTTTTGCACAGAAAAGTGCAGCAGCAACAATCTAATAAAGCATTACAGGGCGGTGTACACATACTGCTGCTTCAAGACTGGATGAAACCTGATCTGCTGACGCTGACCTGTTACATGAAGAAAAAATGTTGACCTTTATTTTCTCCAAGGTTTTTAAAGTTTTATTGCTTACAGTCCTAAACAAAGAACATCCAAAATTATGTTTGGCTTCTGCATGTGCTTCAAGTTTCGTATTCATTGGGTTTACACGTTGATTCAATGTTAGAAAAAAAGATGACTAATCAGAAATGTCTGTGACCTACATACTGATGTTATGCAACACCTCTCACAGAGAAGAAACACCAGCAGAAAAACTGAGGCAAATTCTTGAACCACTGCCAAGCAAACAGGCAGCAGCTGGAGGGAGCCACAAACAAAATCCTCCTGAAACCGGACAGGCCCGGTCCAAACCAAAAGAGCTCCTCTGTGAACTCTGTAGGCTCTGCTCCATGTGGTCAAACGTCTGTTGCTGTGAAGTCTTGACAGATCAGATACGATTCTCTGCTCTGAGGAACGAAAAAAATAATCTGTCTTTTAAATGCGTAAAGAGACGTTTAGTAAAATCTGTTTGGCTGCAGCAGTAGTTCAAAAATTAAACTAAGTTGATGCTGCAATCTTTATTTGTAGTAAATCTTTGTGTCATTGTGCTACAAGTACAATTCCAAAAACTTTAGATGTGTAAAATGGTAATAAAAACAGAATGCAATGTTCTGATAATCTCATAAAACCATATTTTATTCACAATAGAACATAATAAACTTGTCAAATATTTAAACTAAGAATATGGTACTAATTTTTAAAAGGTAGTATTAAATTTGATGCCAGTAATACATCTTTACAAAGTTGGGGCAACAAAAGCCAAAACTACAGTAAGTAATAAAGATAAGAAGCAGGAAGGGCAGCATTTTGTAACTGATTGTGTTAAAGTGTATTC